ACTACCAGGAAGTGACTTGATGAATGATGAGGCGATTATAATAAATCAAACATAAACATGTTTTCTTAAGATTTCCGCAATAATTTACTGCAGCCTCAACATTTGATTACAAGACATGATCAATGTCTAGACGTTTATTGTTTTAACAAGTAGGGACATAACTCATACGTTGTGATTATGGATTGTGTTTGCTTAATGCCTATTACAACTGTATTAGTGGAATTAATCGAGTTATTGTTGATGGAAAGGATACGGCGGTCAAGATATTTCTTCGACAACTAATTCCCTGTCTCATATTTCTGTCAATATCCAGGAAAATAAACACAAAATAAATAAACAAAAACATTTGTTATACATCCGTCCGATGTCCTGTGATAAGACACGGGATCTCTGTCAGCCTTGTATAGTCCCCGGCCCTATGTTCATATCTATTAAAACTAAAATGGATGTAAAATTATTGTTGATGACATTTTGCGGGAAAAACAACTAGGCCTAACTGTAATAATAATTCCCTCTGGACCAAATTGACACCCAGGCAGGATATCTTAGCAGAGTTAGGTTAATGATGTCTGTGCGTGACAATCAATCTACACCTACAGATAGTTTATGGATAGCTAATAATTTGGTTATAACTATCACTTGTATCCATTATTGGGACCGAGCTTGACGCCACGTTGCCGAGTTTTGAAAACTGCAGTTTAAGAGAATGAATTTGCCATATTTTATGTGATACACCAATAGAATGATAAATGAGATAATGCACTAATAACTGAATCTGGTATTCGGGAACGTAACATCCATTTTTACCAACTACCACAATATTAAAGAATTGAACAAAAACTCTGTCGCGTAACGGCCATTCACTGTTCCACAACTAATTACTCTGACGAATCGTCAAATGTTACAAAATGGATGTACTTCCTGGTTAAATTTTTTTTGTTTTCTCGATTTAAGTTAAGTTGCAGGTTATAATTTGGCATAAAGCTAGAAGATATATTATAAGTTTTATATAAGTTATATAATAAGTTTCTTCGATTTGGAATTTGTTTTCGAAAATGAAGCTGCAATTCATATATTTAGCCCCTCGCTTTTGTTACATTGACGAAAGTCCGTAATATCACAAATGTATGTTACTTTGACGACTTACGTACGATGTAACAAAAACGATGGTCTAAATGCATGAATTACAGCTATATTTAAAAACCAACTTTGTGCCAAATGATAATCCGCAACATGACTTATACGTAAGTTTGAATTGTGAAAACAAAAAACTCCTATCCAGGAAGTTCATCCATTTTGTTACATTGACGTTTCGTCAAAGTAACTAGTTGTGGAACGGTGCAAAGGCTAGTTTTTTACTACATTGAAATGACTCAATCAGCCTGCCATGGAGGAATTATACCTAAGGGACTAATATTTCTTTTTCACCGTTGTCAAGATCAGGTTACTGACTATAATTTGACTCTTATTTAAGAGTATACTGGTGGCTACGTATTTTGTTGTCGTATAGAGGAGCTATTCTAACAATTAATAGTCACTCACCTTTGCTAAATTTACGTACTATACAGTGCGTATAAAAAAACGCAACAGATCGTTATCTCGGAAAAGCACAAAACCAGTAATAACAGCATTGATTTCATTCAATGCACTGTAAAGCCACATGTCTCTTCTTTACAATGATATATCATTCATTGATATTTGGTCATGGTTGGGCGAGTAATCATTCCATTTGCAAAGTGCGCCAAAATTAGCTTTGGGCCAAGTTATAAAAATCGCAAAAGTCAGTGTACGGAGCCCAATGCAATATTGGAAGAAAACATAAAACCAATGCTGATTGCATCCTTTTAATTCAATGTACCAAAAAGCCGGATTACTCCTCCTTGCAATGGAATATCATTCATTCACAGGGAGTCATGGCTGACCGAATAATCGTTGATTTTGCAAAGTGGGGAAAAATTCAGCTCGGACCCCAAGTTTTAAACATTGCAAAAGTCAGTACAACGGGCATAGGGGCTATTAGAAGAAGGTGTGACAGGTGTGGTATAGACAGTAAAGTGTTCATACTCATACTCTTGCAAGAATACATCCAATACCCCTCCAAATTGCTACCACTTTCTTGCACATAAAGATGTGCTCATCTGTCCACGTCATGCATGGTTCAGCCCTGAGTCATCTGTGGGTTAAAGCAGAGAAAAGCAGCCCATGGGCAACTCTTTCTCGAGGTTTTGCAATATCTGGTGGAGGAATTGTGAGTACAGATGCTCCTGAGAGACCTCCAAAAGAAAAGTCACAAGAATTCAAGTCAGGGGAGCTTCCATTGGCACTTAACCCTTGCACTGATTTTTTCCAATGTCTAAAACTTGGCCCATAGCCGATTTTGACCCACTGTGCAAATGGAAGGATTTCTCACTCAATCATCACCACATGTGAATGAATGACCAAATCTATCAAATATGAACCCCTTGGAATTTTTGAAAAGTGCCCCCCCCCACCTCCCCCTTGGCAAAAGCTGGCTGAGTAATTATAATTCTGTACTTATGTCACTTTGACGAAAATTCGGAAAGCTGTGTTTACGTAAAAGTACGAATTATATATATTTGTTTGCATTAACTTTGTTGATAAAATTGTACAAAACAAAATGTGACCCCGGAGTCTACCTAGATCTCAAATCGGCAAATATTTCACAGGATCGGGACACATCCGAAAGATGTATAGCACTGTAAATTACGCAATTGCATTTTGCAACCTGTTTTCGAGATCTCATCAACCAACCGGGGATCAATATTTCAAAATCTTTCAAGACCCAGCTGAATGACTTCACAGTTTGATGTGTTTAAGAAGAGAATGGGTCCGCAATTGAATCTAATATACTCGTACGATCCAACTGAGAATAAATCTTTTCCCGTCCTCCATGTAGTTTTAAAATAACAATAGATCTGTTCCTTGGAGGCTAGAATTTGGATAGGGTTCAAGCTAATAACCATAAAAAAGTACTCATTTTTCAAGCTGCTTCTACATTTGGACAGATTTAGATAACCTAACCAGATCCATAAATTACATATTAGTCAGGGGGATTATTTAGATTCCTGATCGTGATATAACATGGGCATTTTTAAAAATCTCTAGCTACATGTATATAGTCTATCGGGTAAAATACGTTATGTAAGCATCACAGTGTTATAATCATAATTTTACAGAACAAGGGGGGATGGTATCATGCCATAATGTTACAAAGACAGACAACCCCTCCCCTACCTCTCGATAGTGACAATCGGGTCAATCCCTTCGTTTGGTCATCAAAGAGGACAACACCCAAACCATCGAACATTTGGAATTTTTTAACAACTTATCTTTTCAACTTTTTTCAAAATTAAAAAAAAATTCAACATTTAAAAAACATTTTTTTCAAAAGTAGCGGTCAACAGTACATATTGTCGACCGCTCATCAACCAATGAGAATTGAGTATTTCAATTGAAGTACTAACAATCACAATAACTTAAGTATTATCAAATGGCCTCACCTCCCACCCCGCCTCCCGCCTCATCTAAACCTCCAAATCATTGCAAATCACTAGAAATCGCAAAGATATTATTTGCTTGTTTGTTCTTTAATGAGAGGATTCATAGCCCTTCACAGATCCGTGGTGCAGTAGTGTATTGGTTTTCTTGTCAGAGAACTATTGCTAATATTCTTACAAATGGATTTTCTGTTAAGTAGGCCTACTGAGTCACAAAGTCATTAAGAGTAAAACATTAAACATGGTCACTTGGTCTCGATCTGATCCAAATTGATAGAACCTTTTAATGTGTTAGCGTCATATAATTTATTACAGTTCATAGGCCTAGCCAGGGGGTGAGATGGGTGAAACCATTAGACATAGATAGAGGAAGAAAAAAGCTTTAAAATGGCTTTTATTTGAAGCTTCTAGCTCAATTTTGAAGGAAGTTGCAACAATCTGTAAAATTCAAAACAAATCTTTAACAAAATTGTTTTGCCTCGCTTAAGCCACGATCGCCGCCGCCCCCTCCCCCGACTGAAAACCGAAAAATGGCGATCGCACCCCCCCCCCAGCCCCCCCCCCCCCCCCGACTGAAAGCTAGCTACGCCCCTGCAGTTTATCAGGTATATTTCTGGTATTGTAGCTAAGAACTGTATTTGATGAAACTGTTACCGACCGCCGTCAAAGCTGTCTTTGATGTCGTTGATATGACGGAGCCTATCAAAGGTGTATCATATATGCTAAGTAAACAAGCATAAACAAAGGATGTAAACAAGACGCATAGCTTCCACTTCACCAGACAGGGGAATATCGTGGAAAAATATTCACATTTTCAAAAGAGCACTGATCCCATAATCCTCACACCTTTAGCCTTGAGTCTACGTCGCTGATTGGTATAAATGTGTCACGGATGAGTCTGGGTTAAAACCTTCTCTGTTTACACTTTTGAAGTATCGTTAAGATGGAAGTATGTTAATTGCTTCACTTTCCCTTTGTAGTTATTTATGAATGTATACATATCAATTATTGTATGATAATCACTTTCATTGATACTGATTATTAATAAGTAGAGGACTGCGTTAAGCAGATAAGATTAGAGAGTGATCCGGGTTTCAGATCTTCGGAAATGTGTTATTTAATCAACAGAGGGAGTTAGCCCATTACGGAACAGAAAAAGGGATGTGTGGTTCCGCGCAATATGTTACAAAAATGCCAAATACATTTTCTTCAAATTGAATGATCATAATTTAGCTTCATTTAGATGTGACAATAATCATTTTGTAGTTCAATAGATGCTAGCCATGTTTTATGAACCATTATTGATAAGTTCGGGAATGTCAATTCATATACGTTATTCCTCAGTGGTCAGTGGTATCGTCCTGTCACCCCCTAGACAATTTTAATCTTTTCCAATTTGCATATGCATAATATTATAACAGATAATTAACAAGTTTATATACGTATATATATATATGTATCATTAATCAACATCATTTAAATGCAAATTATTTTTCAAAACGTGAGACCAGTGAAACATTGGCGAGAAGGACAAAGGGACATTTGGAAACCCGCACGAGATTGGAGGCAAAATTTGAAATCATTATAGTTGTGAAAATTATCTAAAGAAACTCTAAGGTAAGGAACTGATGATTAACACGATTGTTATGTAAATAATTTCAGCAAAACTTCAAGCACGTATTAGGGAATGCATCAGTTATAATTTCGGATAAGTCGTACGACAATGAAACGATCTTTTTTAGAAAATGACTACTATTTTAATCGAATTCTTATTTTTGATGTCTTGCATGGAGGAAGGGATTTATAAGATCCAATGGCTGTGTACGTGTACCAAACGGAACTTTGAATTTGTTAGTTACTACCACTACCACTGTATACCACTACTACTTTTTATTGTAAAACAAGTTTAGTACAATTCACAATTTTCTTACTTAATACTCAAAATTCCTGGTTTAGCTGCGTTTCTGCAGTAGACTTTCTGCAATGTTAACTTTCAAGTAATCGCCCAGTTGTCCTTTGCTGCTATTGCCCTATTGAAAATAGTTTTTACAATGTAGCTTTAACATTATATTATAACATTATTAACATTATGTTTTATATGTCTCTGGTTTCACATATAACGACAAATACTAATAGCCGCGGGGCTCGAAAATCCATTTTACAAAAGTTTCTTGCTAATTTCTTGCAGATGCCGATTGACAAGACACATGCGCATAGTACTTGGAGACAAGAGATTCGCGGCACAAAAACGCCATACAGGCGTTACCCTAAACCGCCATATAGCTACCTCGGGCTGATGGTAACTGCGATTTATAACTCACCGGATCAGCAACTTTCTCTCTCGGACATCTGCCGTACACTGGAGAACATGTTTCCATTCTTCAAGCAGGAGTACAGAGGATGGAAGGACTCCGTGAGACACAACCTATCACATAATACATGCTTCGTTAAACGTCTCAAAGATCCAGCGTTCCCCAACAAGAAGGGGAACTTCTGGGCCGTTGATTTGGACAAAGTACCCCATGATGCTTTCAAACGCCAGGACACTAGTGTTGCTCGAGAAAGTGCGTTCTCTATCGATTTGCACACGGAGCTGAATCTTCCAGGCATCCCTGTGGCAAAGAACGATTCAGCAACCATTCAGACTTCCTTTGGCCTTGAAGTGCCACACAGTGAAACATTCAGTCAACGTAAATTTGGACCATCGCTCGCTTTCTCAGTTGAAAACATACTGAAAAAAGACACCGTTAAAAAGGACTCAAAATCTCGTCTCTCTACAGGGAGCGACACATCAGCGTCTTCTGACTGCAATGGGAACGCACAAAGTCCTAGATTCATAAACTCCAGCGACAGAAGTCCCCTTTCCAACGCCAAAAGTAACGCCCCAACCGGATACCCTTATCCGTTTCACCTCATTCAGAACATAATGTATCCCTACACTTATGCCTACCCATCTCCAGTCAGCTACCAGCCTATACTGGCCACTTTGCCCACCCAACAAGATTTAGGACACTTGTCAAACGCACATGCCTTAGCAACAAGTAACTATAGCAACATATACACAAAACACTCTCCTGTTGTATCACATGCACTGCCTAGGGATAGAGATGAGGAACTCGGTAAAATTGACTTTCCAAGCAACAATAGTCTGCTAACATTTGCTGATTATGCCTTGCAGCATGGCCATTGCTGATACCCCATGTTTAAGTCGCGATCAATTAACTGATTGAAGATAGCTCAGGAACTATTACGAAACTATAAAACAGTAAAATGGGACATTTATTGCAAAAATGTAACCGTATGAAAATTCTAACATTTTTTGTCCCCGTTTGCATACAGTATCTGCTGATAGGCAAAATAGTATCAATCTTATAACTTCTAAGCCGGGCTTCGACGTTACAGAATACAGATAGAAACTTATTTTTGTGGAAATTAGAATCTGGCAATTCTACTTTATTAAAAACTTGATAAGTTATATGTCAGAGAGGCTGATATATTTAAGAGTTAATAAAAATACCGTACTAGAAAGCAACAGTATTTCATTTTTCCTAAATGTATAATATCATGAATATCTTACAATCTTCGTTGTAAGGCATATTGTTACCCTGCTTGCAGTCTAGTTAAACTACGAAGCTCTCTTTTAAGAAGTGAAGTCACACGAATGCAAAGGGTAGCATATTGTCATAGTAGTCAATGAAACTGAAGATATATTTAGATAAAGACAATTAAAAAGAGTGCCGTGCCGTGAATCCATGGTAAAAAGAGATTCCATATTTTGTAAATTTTATCATTTCTGTATGGCTTTCTTCAGCTTAAGATTCATAACAATGCAAATCTCAAAATTGAAATGTTGAAAACTGTCAACTATATAAATTAATCACCTTTTGGGTGGCCATCGTGAATCTAACGTCGGCCATTTTGAATTTTTGAAAAACGCACATCGGAATCAGGGAATGCTTGATCGTTAAATGATATTAAATGAAAACGCTTATCAACTCTTGATCAGTCATCTTTGATTATAATTAGACTGATATTTCTAATCATTGAGAGTCTAGGAAAGCCACAAAGGATTCATTTCGAATGCTCAATCAAGATTGGTATGTAAAATTTAATATGGTTGCTGTTGTTCTTGGGTCATTCCGGTATATGGCTCTTTGTTTTGCTGTTTGCCATTTGCGATATTAATCTCTTTGTGTCTAGGTCATAGGACGAGAACAACATATATAGAACTATGAGTATATCTGATGGTACCAAAAAACTCCTTGAAAATATTAAATGAGAATCCAAAGCTTTGATTCTTTGTGACTTTTATTAAATTCTTGATTAAATAGTCCCGACGGCTGCCATTAAATGGACGTATAACTCGAAGACTAATCAGATCTAGCATGACATTTCCCGAATCCCCTTTGTTTCATGATCAGGGTTCTAGAGAAGTTGAAAGATAAAACATGGCAGCCCCTTCCTCCTAAGGTCAAAAACACTGCTATTTTTTGCAATAAAGTTCAATTTGTTTTTATATTTTTTGCAACTCGCATTTTGCTTATCTATCCCTAACTATACGGATCGTTTTAAACAAGGTCATCGAGGAAAATACAGAAAGTACTCTAAAATTAAGCGAAATTAGTTTTATGTTAAACTTTCAGAAAGGAAAAACATAACTAAATTGAAAGTTGGAAATGTGTTTGTTTTTCAAATCAATGTTGAACAACACAGATTGCCGTTGACCATTGCCGTTGAAATATCTCAGAATATTAATCATGATAAAATTATGTGTAAGTTATACAATTTATAGAACTTAAAGCTCGGAACAAAATATCTGGTAACAAAGTCTTTATTAATTTATCATAGACTAGATTTTGTTGTTCATTTAAGACCAGCTGTTTTAACGGACAATTCGTACTGTTCTGGGTTCTGTTTACAACTGATTTAACATTGTATTTCGGTTAAGTAAAATATATTATTTCGTCTTGTCATAAACATGTAATTCAGCTGATCATTTAATCTTATTTATGCATTAAGGAAGTGACCGCCCATTAGGTTGTTTGGAGTGGTATTCTAAATAAATAAAAAAAATGTTTAAATTCCAAGAACTTTCATCCGCCATTAAAAAGCATTACCCTCTCCTCCAAAGGTTTAGTAATCCTGGCTCCCCAATATATAGCACCTTAGGTAGTTGATGAAAACATAGAATGAGATCCTGTTCTCTGTTAAAACTTCAATTTCCTCCTCTGTATAAGGTCACAAATTCGTTTACTTTATTTTCCTCTGAAACGCTGTACATATTGTTATGTATCTGGTTTCAGTACTGGTCATTAAGATATCTGATACCCTTAACTGAGATTACCATGCCTATAGCAGACACTTGTAAGTCTGGCTTCCTACTAGAAACACATTAACTATGTAGTTCTTATATTATGTTTGATGTATAATAAAGTCTTGATACAAAACACAACATGATGTCAGATGTGGTCTCACATGAATAAGTAGATCAGAGACAATAACAATGGCAAGTGGATACTCAAAGATAGTGAAGGAATTAGACTTTTATGGCCCTAATCTCTCAGAAGATTGGAAGAGATGGAGAGAACTTATTGAATTAATGTTTGATTCTCCTGATGCCACAAAATGGAAAGAGCAAGAGAAAGCCGCTCAAATTCTCCTTCTCATCGGCGAGAAAGGAAGGGACATTTGCAGATCGTGGATTGCCACTGGGGTACTTTCGGAATCACAAAAGAAGGAGTCTAAAACCCTCCTTGATAAATTTGAGGAATATTGTACACCCAAAAAAAACAGGTCGATCCAGAGGAAAATGTTCTATGAATGCTACCAGTCGAAGGATGAGTCTATTGACGAGTTTGTTACAAAACTTAGACTTATTGGCAGAGACTGTAAATTCCCCGATCTTGACGAGATGATCGCCGACATGATATTGACACATTGCTATTCAACACAAGTCCAAGAGAAGCTACTAAGATACGAGGAGGACCTCACATTAGACCATGCTCTAAAGATAGCACGCTTATACGAGCAGAGTAACGTCCATAAGAACTCTCTAAATTCCCGCACAGAAAGTGGACATGAGGAAGTCAGTATTGTAAAGAAGTCGCAGTCACAAAGGTGTGACAACTGTGGACTGATACATAGAGGAGGCACGTGTCCTGCGGCTAATGAGCAGTGTAACGGATGTTTAAAATTCGGGCATTTTAAAAGATGTTGCGTAGTGGGAAATCTAGTGAAAAGGACTCTAGACAACGGAGGCAAGGCAAATCTGGAAAACGTAGAAACCCCCGAAAAGTGAACCAGGTGGAGGAATCAGTATCTTCAGAAGATGAAGTGTACTTGGGATCTGTAACCACTGAAATCCCAGACACCCAGACATCAAAGATAGCCCAGATTCCCGCCAAAACCCCAGATATACCCAACTCAAAATCCTGGATTATACAACTAAAAACAGGTGGGCACACACTTACTGCTAAGGTGGACACAGGTGCCCAGGCCAATGTGATCTCACATGGTCTGTTCAAGAGGTTGAGACACCCCCCTATGAAAGCTTCTACCACGAGGTTATTTACTTACAACAGGCAGCCCCTGGACGTCATGGGTGAATGTGATATGTCCTGTAACTTCAAAGGGATAACCTACAAAGTGAAATTCATAGTCATTAAGGAGAAAGCTGACACTTTAATTAGTCTGCAATCAGCTATTCTCTTTGGCTTAGTTTCCAGAAGTAACATTTCTACAGTTGGCTCTGACAGCACACTGACCACAGACCAGTTGGTGTCCAATTACAGCTACATATTTGAAGGCCTAGGCTGTCTGCCTAGCAAAGTGCACATTACCCTTGAAGAAAATGTCACGCCTGTGGTACACCCCCCTTACAAGGTAGCTGTTCATCAGAGAGACAAATTGAAAACTGAATTAGAGCGAATGCAAAAACAAGGAGTAATTGCCAAAGTGGATGAGCCCACTGATTGGGTGAATAATATAGTTTTGGTTGAGAAGAGCGACAAATCTCTTAGGATATGCCTTGATCCTGCAAACCTCAACAAAGTTATTAAAAGGGAACCGTACCCTACTGCCACAACAGAAGAGATCAGCACAAGATTGAAAGGTGCTACGAGGTTTACCAAATTGGATGCGACAACCTCATTTTGGCAACTTGAACTTGATCATGAGAGTTCGTTGCTTACTTGTTTCAACACACCCTTTGGACGATATCGATTTACACGTCTGCCATATGGACTAAACATATCTACTGAAAAGTTCCAGATGGAAGTTTGTAAAGTTCTAGAAGGAATAGATGGCGTTGAAGTCCAAGTGGATGATATATTGATTTCTGGCAAAGATGAGGAACAGCTTAAGCATCGAATGGAAGCAGTGTTCCAAAGAGCAAGTGAGAACAACCTCAAGTTTAACAGGAAGAAATGCCAGTTTAATGTGCCATCAGTCACATATGTAGGACATACATGGTCGAGAGATGGACTGAGTATCCCGGATGATCGGATAAAAGCGATAGTTGAGATGAAAACCCCTACAGATAAACAATCACTGAGTCGATTCCTTGGCATGGTGAATTATGTTGCCAAGTTCGTACCACGCTTATCAGAGCTAAATGCTCCCTTGCGAGAACTACTGAAAGAGGATATTATTTTCGAATGGAATAAGCCACAGATAGAAGCGTATGAGCAGCTGAAAAAGCTTATAACCACAGCCCCAGTTCTCAAGTTTTATGACCCCAATAAGCCATCAGTGCTGAATGTAGACTCTTCGAAAGATGGTCTTGGAGCTGTCCTACTACAGGATGATATGCCTGTATGCTACGCGTCAAAATCGCTCACCCCTGCCCAACAAAACTACTCCCAAATAGAGAAAGAGATGACAAGTATATGTTTTGGAGCAACTAAGTTTCACCAATACCTCTATGGTAAGCCCTTTGTCGTGGAAACTGATCACAAGCCCCTGGAGGTGATCGCAAAGAAAGCTTTAAATAAAGCCCCAGCTCGATTACAAAGAATGCTTTTGCAAATGCAAAAGTACGATGTCACAATCAAGTGGAAACCTGGAAAAGACATGGTTATATCAGACACTCTCAGCAGAGCATGCGTAGACAGTGACATAGAAAGCTCGAAAATTATCGCTTCTATCATGAATGACATTGATCAACAAGCAGATGGATTACTTCAAGCTTTACCCATGTCTAAACCAAAACAGCAAGAGTACAGGAACGCGACCTCGAATGACCCTGTACTGCAACGCATTATGGAATATTGCAGAATTGGATGGCCTGAAAAGACTGATGTACATGAGTCAGTCATGCCATATTACACCTTTCATGATGAACTTAGTACAGTTGACGGTCTCGTGTTCAAAGGCCTGAAACTGGTAATTCCCACATCAATGAGAGACGAAGTAAAGTCACTTATCCATGAAAACCATATGGGAATCGTTAAAACTAAATCCATAGCAAGAGAGACACTCTATTGGCCCAACATGAATTCCCAGATCGAGGATATGATAAAAAACTGTGACATTTGCAAAACCCACAGAAATGCCAATCAAAGAGAACCTATGATTCCACATAAGGTTCCTATGCGCCCCTGGGAAAAGATAGGTGTTGACCTATTCTCACATAACAACAAGGATTACCTAATTGGAGTAGACTACAGCAAGTACCCTGAGCTGTACTCACTCACCAGCACCAAGGCAAAACCCATCATAAATTGCCTAAAAGCCTCGTTCAGCAGAAATGGTATTCCCCAAACAGTATTCAGTGACAATGGTCCACCATTTCAATCATCAGAATATGTAAAATTCAGCGAAGACTACAACTTCGACATTGCTACATCGAGCCCGAATCTAGCAAATAGCAATGGCCAGATTGAAAGGACAATACAGACTGTAAAAAATATTATCAGAAAATCAGATGATATTTTCACAGCCATGCTGAATTTGAGAAACACCCCAATTGATGCGAAGATCAACAAATCCCCAGCAGAATTACTTATGGGTAGAAAACTGCGATCTAAAATTCCTACAAGTGATGTTCTACTGAATCCCCAAATCCCAGATCCCAACGTTCGCACAAAACTTCAGCAGAAAAAGCAGATGGAGAAGAGAAAGTATGACCTCCGCGCTCGTCCCCTTGCCCCTCTTCAACCTAATACCCCTGTCAAAGTCCGTGAGAAAAGGAACAATAAATACATCTGGAGAAATGCAACAGTGACTGAGAAACTAGACTCGCCCAGATCATATCTAGTTGAAACCCCAGATGGAGGACAATTTAGAAGGAATAGGAGACATTTAATTCCAACATAAAATGTGTGAAGTGACTATCATTAGTATAGTGTAGACCCAAGACTGGAAGTGAAATGGAAATATCCATATTTGCAATGAAGGTCAAGGATAGACCAAATTAGCATATCAAAATAAACATTGTAGTAAGACTGTAGTAAACTCTTAGGTCAAGAACCTCATTAGCATGTAGTACAAACATATGCACTGGACATTTTATCAATGAATACTAAAGTTCATGAGACAGGTCAGATAGTTCAAATAACATGGCTAGTAAAGTTTAAATGAGCTCCCTTACAAAATATTCAGAATTAGTAATGATCATATTTCAATGAGATGACTGTTAAAAGTTTAACTTGTTTATAAACTAAAAGAAGGGAGATGTTATGTATCTGGTTTCAGTACTGGTCATTAAGATATCTGATACCCTTAACTGAGATTACCATGCCTATAGCAGACACTTGTAAGTCTGGCTTCCTACTAGAAACACATTAACTATGTAGTTCTTATATTATGTTTGATGTATAATAAAGTCTTGATACAAAACACAACACATATGATGCTACAAGGGCATTCAATTGGTATTAATTGTCAAACTTTTGAAGGGGAGTGTAAAAC